CAAACAGTAAGGCATACAGGTTTTATGACCTAAATGCCAGAGTAATCATAGAATCAAACGATGTTGAATTCTATGAAGACAAATTTCCTTTCAGATCGAGAAATAGTGGGGGCTCACAATCGAGTCACATTCATGTGATAAAAAGCACTGAAAGCAGCGACAATGTAGAAACAGAACTTCGAAGAAGTAAAAGAGCAAGAGTTGCTAAAGAATATGGGGCCGATTATGCGGCCTATAATGTAGAAGAAGATCCAATAAATCTTCAAGAAGCACTGTCATCTATGGATGCAGACTTATGGCAAGAAGTAATTAATGATGAGATAGATTCTCTAGAATCTAACAAGACCTTGCACTTAGTAGACTTACCCCCGGGTTGCAAACCAATTGGTTGCAAATGGGTTTTGAAAAAGAAACTAAAACCTGATGGAACGATTGAGAAATACAAGGCTCGCCTTGTAGCCAAGGGTTTTAGACAAAGAGAAAATATAGATTTCTTCGACACCTTTTCTCCGGTCACTAGAATTACATCCATTAGGGTACTTATTTCAATAGCAGCCATTTATAACTTAATAGTACACCAAATGGATGTTAAAACAGCTTTTTTAAACGGTGACTTAGAAGAAGAAATCTATATGGAACAACCAGAAGGGTTTGTAATCCAAGGACAAGAAAGCAAGGTCTGTAAGTTAGATAAGTCTCTGTATGGACTAAAACAAGCCCCTAAACAATGGCATGAAAAGTTTGATAACTTAATGATAATTAATGGGTACAAAGTGAATGAAAGTGACAAGTGCGTTTATTACAAATCTGAGAATCGCATTTGTACTATCATATGTCTATATGTAGACGATCTACTTATATTTGGATCAAACGTTCAGGCCATTAATGATATGAAATCATTGTTATGCAATAACTTTGATATGAAAGACTTCGGAGAAGCAAGCGTGATCCTGGGTATCAAGATCACGAGATCCGACCAAGGAATTTCTTTGGATCAATCTCACTATGTGGAGAAGATCTTAAAAAAATATAAATACTTTGATTGTAAACCTGCATGCACTCCGTATGATCCAAGTGTGAAACTGTTTAAGAACACTGGAGAAAGTGTCAAACAAGTAGAATATGCGAGCATCATTGGCAGTCTTAGGTATGTCACTGATTGTACTAGACCCGACATTGCATATGTCGTAGGATTGCTGTGCAGATTTACAAGTAGGCCGAGTAACGAACATTGGCAAGCTATTGAGCGAGTAATGAGGTACCTTAAAAGGACTATGGACTTCGGCCTACACTATCCGAAATTTCCTGCTGTACTAGAAGGGTATAGTGATGCAGATTGGAACACCTTATCGGATGATTCCAAAGCTACTAGTGGTTATATATTTAGTATAGCCAGAGGAGCTGTATCTTGGAAATCAAAGAAACAGACCATTCTGGCACAGTCCACAATGGAGTCTGAGATGATAGCATTAGCTACAGCTAGTGAAGAAGCAAGTTGGTTAAGATGCTTGCTAGCTGAGATTCCTTTGTGGGAAAAACCTATACCAGCAGTGTTGATCCACTGCGATAGTACCGCGGCTATTGCAAAAGTTGAGAACCGTTATTATAATGGTAAAAGACGTCAAATTAGAAGAAGACATAGCACTGTTAGAGATTGTATCTCTAAAGGAGCTGTGAGAGTGGATCATGTACGCACTGATGAGAACTTAACAGATCCTTTGACGAAAGGATTAGCTAGAGAGAAATTCCATAATACTTCCAAAAAGATGGGACTAATGCCTATAAAGCAATTAGTTACTCATGATGGTAACCCGACCTAAATGATTGGAGATCCCAAGACTTAGGTTCAATGGGTAATAACAAGTTGTGAGTAATATGAAAATGATCATGCAAGTAAAGCATGAATCCTGAAGTAATGAGAGGATGAGATAATAGAAACTCTTAATGAGATCTATACTCTGTATGAGGGAGTACCTAGGCTACAGGAGTACTCTTGATAAATTCACCTATGTGGCTGTGGAACTGAGGCCGGTTCCTATGGAATTTCGAGGCCGAATTCCTAGAGCATTCACTAAACCGGGATACACGTGCAGGGCCACTAAAGCACAGGCTACAAGAATACACCTTACGGAAAGGTTGTGTGCGGGTCTGATGTCCGAGATAGAGTTCAAGACAATGGTGTCACTCTTGTTGAATCAGAATCCTACTCGCTACGCTAAGGTTCAAGTCGTAGACACCTTTGCTTATGCTCAATCTTAGAAACGTATGACGTACTTCTAAAATCTCTTTTAAATTCAAGTGGGGGGATGTTGGAATTATATTAATTAGAGTGGGAATTGGAAAGATTTATTGACAATTAATGGGCAATAAATGAACATAAGTAAGAACTAATATAGAAGTGAATTTGAAAAGATTCATTTTAGTCCCACATTGAAGGGAATGGAAATATTAGTAGTGTTTATATATTCCAACTTGGTCAATTGGGTTGGGCCCTAAAGGGCATCCAATTTTGTGAAAGGAGTGAGGACACACCCATGACCATCAAGACACACACGCGAGCAGCGCGCCGCCGCCGTCCGTCCGGCCGGCCGGCCGGCTCGGCTCGGTCCGGTCCGGTCTAGATGAATTATTTTTTGGACCCGAATTTATAGAATTTAATTATCATGAATTAATTAATATAATTCGGTGGAAAATTAATTAATAATAAATATTAATTAATTAAGAAAATAATTGGTCAGTAACTGTCGTATTGACTAGATCCAGTATTTTCCCATTCTCCCACGATTTCCTCCATTCATCACGAATTTCTCCCTACTCAGCCTTACTAGCTGCCTATAAATACAGGGTAGAAGTTCAGTAGTGAAGTAGCGGATTTCAAAAAGTTCACACGAATTTTGATTTCCATATTCTCTCCTTTAATTCTCTTCGTCTACAAATCCTTCTTTTCTTGTTTTTTCTTGTTTTTTCGACTGGCTATTTTCGCCAGATACTGTGACTTAGAAAGATGTATTTCTAGAGCGATTTATCAATCGTACGTTATTGAACGGGTTATTTTATCCTGGAGACGTCGCCGTAAATCGACTGCTTTGCATATTTTGGCAGTACGGCCAAACGTCTTAAAGAAAGCGACCTAATACGCGACTCGTCCCGATAATTTCCTTGTGCCAAACTCAATTTTTCAAATCCGAATAGTTGATTTTTCTTCTATGTTTAGGCCGCAATCTTCAAAACCTAACTTTTTTATTTTATTCCTATAGAAATTGGAAGTGACTTTGTAAAGAACAGATTATATTTGTCTAGTTTTAGGTTTGTTTTGTTTTTAGTGGGTCTTAGTCTACTCCCCTTTCTTTTTTTATGTATTATATTTTCCTTTTGAATATACAACCTTTATTAGAAAATGATAGGTTGTAATGTATTTACTATTTAAACTTGTTTGCTAAATAATAAAAACAAAAACTAGTTAAAATTTTAAATGTATTTTAAATATTGATGTGTTTTTAAGATCTACTTATTCTAGAAGTAATTTTTTTAAAATCTTACCCAATTAACATTCATTTAAATATAATTTTGATAATATTTTTCATAGAATTTCATCTTATTTTATTTATATTTTATGGATTGTTATCTTGAAATTATAATAAGATTTAATATCCTTTTTTATCAGGTATGTTATCTTCAGAGTTCATTTCATCTCTTAATTAAAAATGACAAAAATATTGTATAGGTTCTTTAAGTTATTTTAAAATATCTAGTTAGTCCTTTAAATTTTTTTTGTAACGTTTTGATCTTTTATGTTAAGTAACGTTTGCGTCGTTGACCTTTTTAAAAATCTCTGTTATAATAAATTGCAAACGCATATACCATTTGAACTGATTTTTCGCGCTGATCACGAATATGCAATCAAATTTATCAAACAAGTTACGGTTCATGAGAATAAGGGGGAAAATAGACAAATACATAATGGAAAATCGTTTGATCCGACTAAAATACACAATCAAACGTAAACCTAATAACATATTCGCGATCAGCGTGAAAAATCAGTTCAAATGGTATATGAGTTTACAATTTATTGTAACGGAGATTTTTAAAAAGGTCAACGACGCAAACGTTACTTAACATAAAGGATCAAAGCGTTACAAAAAATACTTGAAGGACTAACTTGATATTTTAAAATAACTTAAAGGACTAAAACAATATTTTTGTCATTAAAAAATGTCCATATTTATCCCTTAACTCTTAAAAATGTATCATATTAGTAACTTTGGTCTAATTAGAGATAAATTTAGCGGTCGATTCTTCTGGTTTTATGTAGCTAACCAGACAAAAATAAATAACATGATACACTTTAAAGAGTTAAGGGATCAATATAACACTTTTTTAGTTAAAGGAGCAAAATAAACAAATTAACATACATGAACAAAAAAAATATTAAGCATTTTAGTAAATGTTGCTAATTTTATGACCAAAATTGAATTAAAAGTTAAAATTTACTAAAAGCATTTTAGAAATTTTGCCATTTAAGTAATTTATACACTATTCTGGTCAAACAATATTTGTATGGTAAAATATAAAGAATTTTTTATACAATAACTATATAAATATTTATATATATATATATATATATATATATATATATATATATATATATATATATATATATATATATATATATATATATATATATATATATATATATATATATATATATATATATATATATATATATATATATATATATATATATATATATATATATATATATATATATATATATATATATATATATAACTATTAAATTATTGATAGTTTTGACTATAATTACTAATTATATTGACCAATTTAGTGATGTGAATCTAGTCAGATTCATGGTTCTAAAATGAGTTTCCTTATATACTTATAGAATTTTTTGTACCATAAATTAGGGTTACAACTCTGAAACTTTTATCCAACCGCTTATCAATATCTTCTGAGTTCTCTTAAAAGTATTAATTTTCTAAATCATGGTGAATAAATTTTGGGTTACTGGTAGAGAGATAACTCAAAACAATGGGCGTATTCATTCTAATGAATATGAGAATCAAATCTCCAATAATAACTTATTATCAAATACTCGCTTCCAAACACAACAGAATCCTCTCACAAGTCTCAACAATTACAGTCAAGGTATACCGTTATTCTCTTAGTGTTGATTTTTTTTAAGAATCCTACATTTTTTATTCCTATTATTATAATAGGCTTTAAGAGTTAGTTCAGCGGTAAGGGCTTAACTTTGCCACTTTAATTTTTAAATATTCTCAAGACGGTTGAAAATGACATTAATTTCATTTGAATTAATAAAATATAAAATCTTTTTTGCATGGAAATGGTATCTTGGTAGGTTTATGACTATCTCATGCGCTTTCTTCTAGTGCCTTAGAAACTTAACTCTTTGTCTGAGTCAATATCAAGTTAATGGTCTTCAATTGGCTCTTTGTTTGGAGTGCTTCTATGGGTTGGGATTTAACTTATATTCTTGTCTGGCTAGTGTTTGTTTTCTTAAATATTCTTTTATATTATCTTTTTTTGGCTCAGATGTTTTTATATCCAGTTTACTCAGATAATGCATTGGATTGGTACTTATTGTATATTATTTTTTATGCATCCTTTTATTTATATGTATTGCTTGTCATTAATAAAATTAATAATACAAGGATGATTCAGAAGACAACAATATTTTTCAACCTATAATTTATATATTCTTATGACTTCGGCCTACTCTTATACTTTCTCTGAATAAATTGAAAATCAAATTCTCTTTTTAAGCTAATAATAGTTTGAGAGATTTTCTCTTGTTTATTGGGTTGGAGTATTCTTATAATCTTGTTTAGAGGACTTCGGTCTATCATTTGTGGTACTAGGTCTTGGGTTCTATCCTGTTTGCTTTGTCTTTGATATATGTGGGTTTATTTTGGCTTGGTCTCTCCCTTGAGAGTTTATGGTTTTCATTTTCAGCAGTAATAGCTAGATACTTGTAATATATGTTTATTTAAAATTTTCTCCTTCATTTTATTGAAATTTTATTTTTAAACTTAAATTAATATTTACTTCACATGTTAAATGCAGAGAGGTATCAGAATAACAATATTGCTGGTGCTACAACACAACCAATGGTTCAATTCTCACTCTCTAGCAACAATCCTTCTTCCTTCCTAACACCAGCTCGATATGGTCGAACATTGCCTTTGATTTCAAGAAGCAATCCTTTCATTCCTTCTTATCTTCCAAACTCATCTCGAATTCCCTCATCAATTTTAGGCAACACTCCTCCCATTCCTTCATCTCTTCTAAACTCATCTCGAAATTCTTCCTCGAGATCCGACAACACTCCTCTGGTTCCTCCTAACCCTCCATACTCGTCTCGAATTTCCTCATCAATTTTGGGAAATACTTCTCGCATTCCTTACTATCCTCATAATGCATCTCAAGATTCCTCATCTAATGGTGTTACAACTGGATGTCAAAATTATTCAAGACCAATTCTTCAGAATCAAATGAATTTTCGATATTCTCCATATCGTGAGGGTTCCAATCATACAAATAATATCAATCCTTTAGTATTAAATAATTCTAATCCTCGTTCAAGGACTGATTTGAATAGCTACCAAGGTTTGGAGGATATTTCATTACCTAATGCAAATCCTAACAATAATAATAATAACCCTTTAGTATTGAATGATTCCAATCCTCGTTCAAGGATTGATTTGAATAACTACCAAGGTTTGAACAATATTTCTATACAAAATGCAAATCCTCCTCAACTTTGTCATATTAAAACTACTTATTTAAGCATGTTTTATTCTTCAGGCCATGGAGAATCTGATGCTTGGAGAGAGCCTGTGACTACATCTGCTGCTAGTTTTAATGAAACACAAACACAAAAGAGAGAGCTACTTCTTTTCAAGGATGACAAGAATACAATTCAAACCAGATTGGTGATTGAAATTGACGATTCAGATGATGATGATGATGAGCATTTGGATCTCTCACTTCATCTTTAAATCACGATTCAATGTCTTTTTCCCTTTTAGTTTCATGAATTATCATGTTTTTTTTCATAATAAAATTTAGATACAATATAAATCTCGATATCGATTAGCGAGGCTTCACTTTATTTTACATGTTGTATTATCCTCAAATAGTATAATGAATGAGTTTCTTTTTTAAGGCATATAACGAATTAGTTTATCCTTACATATTAATACATTCATCCTTAGATATAATATTCTATAATCCAATAATACTTGGATGAGATGAATCTCTTCCAACTTTATTAGAGAATAACATGTTTAATTTCCTTAAAAGAGAACTGTTATATTGTGATCCTATCTACTCAATGAATTAATCTTCACAGTTGTGTATGGAGATACCCATTTTATACCAAAAAATTATAATACTCCCTTTAGAATATATTTTTATCTCCAACAACAATGAATATTATCATTAAAATATAAAGCATAACTTTATATTTTTATAGACAAATTTCTAATTACAATATCAATAATTATCAAATTTAATAATATTAACAACATTCTTGAATCCTAGACCAAGTTCTCATACATTTTTTGTCATGCACTTGGACATCAAGATACATTCATTATTGAGGAGGCCATTCCTGAATTGATGAATGACAATATGAACAACTTGCTTTCCTCTATCCTATCATGGAGGAAGTTTACAATGTTTTCCTCTATTCTATGGCATATTTTTGTAATGCATTGGAACATTGTGAAGATTAATATTTGTAATGCACTGCTCAAACTCTTTAAATTAGGATGGAACTTAAAAAATTTAACCTCAGCACTATCATCCTTTTAACAAAAAGAAAAGATCCAGACACCATAAACAAGTTTAAAATTATAACATCCTGACGAATTATGTGTTTAGAATTATAATAATCAAATCATTAAAAATTGGTACTAACAAAAATCATCATATATAAATGGAATTAATGTACATGTACAATACAATCATCCCAAAAATATTACATAATACAACATAACATAATGTCGAAAAATCAAGGATCTAGGTGAAAAACCCAATTTAACATCCCAGAACACAATGAAAGAAAAATAAGAGACAATACAATCTTTAATATCTTCACTGTATCTTCCCTTGTCCTTTCTTTTGGCCCGAGCTACCCAAAAATATTACCATATTGTTGGGGTGAGATATTATAACTCAATGAATCTCACCTAACCTACAAGTCCTCTCGGACCTAGGGTTACATAGCACTATAAAGACCTTAAGTCGTAGTTCCTGAAATTCAATTCTAAGGAGGACAAATGATGGATCAATGCCAAGGACAATGTGTACAACTGGTTTATGTTAGATAATAAATTTTGGGGATAAATGTCATACACAATGTTTGGAACATGGTATACTAGAAAGTAAAAAACCAGTTACACAACCATGTTATGAAAGATTAACTTATACAAAAGGACGAAGCAGAAAAACAATAAAAAACACAAAAATTGCTAACCAAGTTCAGTGTAAATCCACCTACATTTGGGGGCACTCTACCAATGAAAATAAATCCATACTTCTATAGAATTAATAAAAAATGTCTTAGATGGACAAGCCTTTTGTTTAATCCTCCTCTTCTTAATTCTACCATAGTGTCTTTCTATTTTGGACTCCCTCTAAATATGAGAACTCTCTTACACTTTTTATCAATCACTAATCCTAAGTGATCAACAATAATAAACACAATGATGAATATTGAATATAACTCAACCAAAGAAACAAACTATTGTGCCTTTTGAATGAAGCAATAACATGGTGTACAATTAACACAAGTACTTTGTTCTCAAGCTTATAAACTTAGTATCTTGGAACAAAGTTATACAACTAAATAAGGAAACCAATCTCAAATTCTTAAGATGTGAATTATAGTGTTAGAGTGGTTCAAAATAATAACTCAAACAAAGACTTAAAAATAGAAATCCAAACATAAAGAGTCTTCAAAACGTGCAGACCTTCAAACAATAGGTTTGAGTCTTCTTATATATATAATGCTTCTTCTGGGCGTTTTCCAATGGGCATAAACAACTTTGATCTCGTTCAGAATTATAGTGGATTCTATTTTTATTTGTGTCACAAAAGTCTCCAAAAGATATGATTTGTTTTTTTAATTCAACTTCAAATTTAAATCTCCATTTAAATTGATTTGTTCACGGCCAATATTTATTTTTAAAAATCCACATAAAAGCATAATAAAATATAGCAAAAAATCTTATTGTAATCAATCAAAAATTCAACACCTAACAACATCCATCTTGGCATGGTGACAACGATCAGATGTTACACTCCTCACTTGCTAGAACATCATGTAGCACATGTTTCACCAAAACATCCAAATTAACTCTCCATAAAAATATTCTTTGTAGAGTAAATATTGGATTAAATCTTAACCAAATCTTGATTCAAAGAAAATCCAATCAAATCTTTGTTGACTAAATAAAATCCAAATCTTTTAATTAAACCCTATAATCCGTATTCATTATTTAATAAATATTTTCCAAATTGTTTTAGATTAAACAAACTACTTCTGGATCTTCTGAAGAAATTAACATTGCAACACATCTGAAGGAAATTTAAAGATAATTTGAAAATCCTTACATCAAGATCTCATCCAACATGCATTTGACATCCTGCTCATTAAATTGCTTATTGTCATACCCCAAATTTTATCCCTAGATTTCATCATCATTTTCATAGTATCCAAAACATTCTAGGTCTATCATTCATGCATAGCTAACCAAATTATCAAGTTTTGTTTTGCTTTACCTTTATTTATGAACTAGGGTTTTGCACCAAGGAGATGTAGTTGATCAGTCAAAGTTTTGGATTGATTATCAATATATCAATTCCTCATGATCAAGAGCTTCCCTACATCAATAATCAAATTTTTTGGGGCCTCATTACAAGTTCATCAAGATCCAAATTCATCTGAACCATAAATTAGAGTTTCTGATAAAAAGTCAACTGCACCTTTGACTTTTGACCAAGACATGATCTCAAGCTTTGGGACATGATTTAAGACACTTAAAGACACCTTTGAAGTCCATCCAGAATATTCAAATATCCCAAGAGTTTGATTTCATTGAGGATCACAAATTCAAGTTCATCTGATATAAAAGCCAACCATTGATCAAAGTCAAGATTGACTTTTGACTTTTTTGGTCAAACATGGTTTCCTTAAGTCAAGAATGATTATAATATATGATTCAAATCATGGTTAATCAAGTGAAATCAAGAAAATGGGGTTACTTGAGAAAAGGGAAACAATGGAGAATTGAAATTTTTCTAAGTTATGAAGATTCATGATTTTTGCTCAACTTGCCAAGCCCATAACTTCCAATCCAAGTAACCATTTTCTTTGCTCCAAAGACCAATTTGAATAGCTTTTTACATAATACAACTTTGTCCTTGAGGATGAATTCTAAAAAAATGCATAGATTGATAGATATGAAGCCATGAAGTGAAGGATTCTTTGGCTCTTGAACTAAGACACTTAAAAAAATTTCAATAAAATATGCCTTGTGTTGGAGCCAACTTTGAGACCATTTTTCACTATGATCAATTTTTGATTCAAGAAAAACTCAAAACATGAAATTTATAGAGGATGTTTTAAGCTTTCAAAAAAGTCAAGGAACACACTTTTATCATGCTTGAGCTATGAGATTCTAAGAGATGAAGTTGACACTTTAAACATGAGTTTTAGGTCATTTTACAAGACATGAACATGAGCAAATCCATTTCAAATATGTAAATCCCTTGATTACAGGTCCTATAACTTGCAAATCCATCCTTAATGAGAAGATTACACGAGCTTTTAAATCATTATCCAAATAATTGATGCATTATCCAAGTGTTCACTATTTTGGGAAGATTTTGCAAGAAAGTTCATACTTCCATATGTATAAAGTGACTTTAATCACAAAGTCAACTTGTATGGAGCTTTGTGATTGTTTCTTCTGCATACAAACACTTTCAAGATCAGAAGCAACACCTCTAAAGGCTCTCAACCACCCTACAGACATTTTACTTTGCATTGAAACTACACAAATCCATCAAACTACAATTTTGTTTCCAACCAAGCCAAAACTCCATAACTTTATATTCTGCTCAGAGAAATTCATCAAAATTTACCTATAAATATAGAACACCTCTAAGCTTCAAAACACACAAAAAAAACTTCTCAAAACCTTAGCAATATCTCTACACACCAGAATTTGCAAAAATCACCATTTAGGCAAGCTCTCAAGCCAAAAACTTCCAAATCTTGTTTCCTTCGTGCATTCTTCAAAATAATACCACAAACCTTTTCTAAATACTCATTAGAGATTTTGCAAACCCTTGAACAAGTTATATACCATCCATATCATCATCCACCACTCTCACCTTCATACTTTGCAAGAAGGTTCGCTTGAAGAGTTACAAGCAGTTTCTGGCCAAGTTCTTTATTCAAGCACTCTACTTAAGGGTCAAGGAAGCTCATATGATCATTCTCTTATTTCTTTAGTCACTAAGAAGAGGCATATGACCTTGCTCCAATAGGTAAGTGTTCTTACACTTTGAAACCCTTTGTTCATGCATCATTTCCATGTGATTGTTGAAGCAAAAATGTAGATATCATCATGTTAAATGTATTCTTCCTACTGTTTTCAAGTTATCCTGTTTATGAGTGAAGTTTTTAATGTCTGAAACCTAGGGTTTTGTTTCTGTTTTTTTCCCCTTTGTGTGCTCTAGCTTTGAGTTTAAGTGTCTACAAATTGTATCATTGTGTTCTTTGTAAAAAATGGAGCAAGTTAGGTTTTTACACTTTTGAAAAGCATGAAAAATGAAGGAGATATGATTGATGGAAGTTTGGAAGAAAATTAAAAAAAGAGAAAGAGAGATAGAGATGCACGAGGTTAATGATGATACTGAGGTGGCGTCATTTTCTCATTTTAAATTCTGTTTTATTATCTAATTAAATGTTTGTGTTTTAAGTAAT